GACTCCATGGCTTATGTGACTCAATTGTGTCCGACAGAGGCCCAATTTTTGTAGCTGAGTTTTGGAGAGCAGTCTGTAATTGCCTCCAAATAAAAGTTTCGCTATCTACATCCTACCATCCGGAGACAGATGGCCAGACAGAGAGTGCTAATGCGTTTATGGAGCAATACCTGAGGCTATATATTGATTACTCTCAAGAAGATATTTACGACTGGCTACCTATGGCTGAGTTTGCAGCCAACAACGCAGTCAATACTTCTACACAAGTGACACCGTTTTTTGCAAATAAGGGGTTCCACCCACGAATGAGTTTTGGACCCCCACGGGAAATCCTCAGAAGCTCTTCAAAAAGCCTTCGTAAACAAATCACTGCTGGAAATGACTTTGCCTCCAAAATGGCTGAGATTCTCGAAATACTACGATCCAATCTTACATGCGCCAGAGATAAGCAGGAGAATGCTTTAGTATCAAATCGCTCGCCTGCAGCAGCATACCGAGTTGGCGACGAAGTCTTCCTTGACACTCGTAATATTACTACTTCCCGACCAATTGAGAAACTCGACTGCAAATTCATCGGACCATTTCGGGTGATTAAGATAATTAACTCCCACGCCTACAAGTTACAGCTCCCATTTGAATATGAAAAATTACACAATGTTTTTCACACAAGCCTCTTGAGACCAGCGCCCACAAACCCGTTACCAGGCCAGGTAAATCCTCCACCTCCACCAATTGCACTCGACGAATCTGGGGAAAAGCTGTATGCTATCGAAGCCATACTTGACTCAGAACGTGGTAAAAACAAAAAAAACTTTCAGTATCTGATACTCTGGAGAGGCTATGATTCAGAAAATCAGACATGGGAACCACTCAAGAACGTTGTAAATGCGAGTGCCTCGATAAAGGAGTTCGAACGACGCTTTCCTCACAAGATAAAGCCGAGTAGTTTTGAGATTGAAAGAGCACGCGATCTAGCAACCAAGTCCACTTCTCTGATACCTCTCAATAATTCGTGAGGTGCCCCGAGACGGGAGTAAGGTGGGACCATATTTTTTTTTTTTTTTTTATTATATTAAAGTCCTAAGCTAAAGCTCTAGGTCCACTACAGGTACAAGACTGGTGGAGCCGGCGGGGATCACTGCTTACAGGCCCAACTCATTCCAACCGCTGGACTTGCTACAGAAATAGTAGGAAGTAAATTACGACGCGGACACCACCTACTCCAACTCCTAGATCAAAAATCAATCCTTTTCCCTAAATCCAAATAGCTACAATCTTTCCTCAGAGAAACGACACTTCTCGCCTCGTTCCCTTTCTTGTCATGTGTTGTGGCAATGACTAGTTAATCTGATCCCCGCTGAGAGCAGTGGATGAGTGAGCAGGTCGTCTATCAAAACAGCCGGTTTCCTGCGCAAATATTTTGAAGCTTTCGTGGCACTTGGGCCCGAGAAGCTTTTTGACAAAGTCAGCGTGGGACATTGACTTTCTGAGCCTACGCGTGTGTTGTGCGTGGCGGCTACAGTGGATGAAGTGGGTTGGAGTAGTTTCCTTCCCGCAAGAGCACTCCATAGGAGCGTGTAGGTTATTAAAACGGCGATTGTATGCCGCAAAATTGCCGTGACCCGTTCGGGCTGCAATTAATTCTCGGAGCAGGTGCCTAGAGAGAGCTAGTTCGGGTGGTTTGCGTCGCCGAACCTGTAGGTTGAGTTGGCGGTATTTAGGCGGACAAGCCTCTATCCACCAGTCTTCCAGCAATTTTTGCCGCCGGTGATTCATGTGACCACGAAGATATGCCAGCGTACATGATCCTGGTGGTGTCTCCTGGCTAGGTAACTCTCGGAGTGCGGCACGGGCAATGGTGTCTGCCTCTTCGTTCCCTTGTATCCCTGCGTGCCCTGGCACCCATTTCACTAATATTTTTGCCTTATTGGATGACGCACGGAATTTGCGTACATCTTCAAGGCTAGTTGAGGATGAGCCCGTCGTTAGTGCGCTTACAGCCTGTTGGCTGTCTAGAAACAAGTGGATTTGCTGCGACCCTCCTACTCTCCTAGAGTTTCCGTTATCCAAGAACTCCAGTGCGGCTTCTAGAGCCTTCCTTGCTCCTATTATCTCTGCATCCAGCACCTCTCCCCCGTGCTTGATGCCACTTCCTTTGCCTATGTCTTTCCCATCCTTTTTCAGAACGAAACCCCAGGCAGAGCGTCCGTGTCCTTCCGATGAACCATCTGAGTATGCGCAGATGTCCGTTCCTGTCACGTTATTGATCCATCCAACGCAGTCATTGCGTTCCGTCAGCCTTGAGCCTAACTTTTTAGGGTAGACTACCGGCGCCAGGGCCTCGGGGGCCTCTGCTTCCGGGAGCTCTCGATAAGCACGCTGTAACCGTGACATTTGGATCTCTGGTCTAGCAGAGAGTTTGGCGGTCTTTTTGTACTTTCGAGTGCCGACATTCGGGCACACGGAAGCGCGGATCCTCAACGGGTGTCTATCATCAAGGGTCTTAAGCCTTGCCGAAAGTCGGAGTCGGTTTCCCTCAAGTATGACCTTTGCCGGCGGGATTCCTCCTTCTCTGTGAACGGCTACGTTTGGCGTTGTCCTCATCACTGGCAGTGCAGCCCGCAATGGTGGGACCATATGTTAGGGTATTGATACATTTAGATATGGTCACGTGTGATTAGGGAGTCGCGTAGAGCGCAAACGCGTCTGTATTTAGTTACTCTCTAGCCTCAGGTGGACCACCTTTCCTCCTTGTAGACAATCTCATTCTCCAGATTTGACCTCGTCAATCTTCCACGTACCCATACCTTGACACATACGTGAAACTTGATGTCGTCTAAGACTAGGTCGTTCTAGTAAAACTTTTAGGAATGTAGTTAAGACATACGTCTACCAGGCCGGGAAAGGTGAGTTATTGGGGACTAGGACAATCTGAAATCGAAGCCCCCCCCAAATATGAAGCAGCCGGAGGCAAAGCTGTTGCGTGCCTTGCAAAGACCATAGCTAGTGGATCACAAGTCTCCTACGCTGGGCTCGTTCATGGCCTCTCAGAACATAGCCGTAGTAGGACTACAGATTCCTATTAATCAGACGACGGCGTTGAAAGTTACTCGTAAAAGGTCCGAGTGAAGTTGTCCATGTACATGCAGCTCTCAGCTTCTAGAGAGTTCCTAGCCGCGCGCTGGGTGATTCCATAGATTACAAGACTTCGTCGCTGGCAGGTGAAAGGCGTTCCAATCCACCCAGTCATCGATCTATTTGCTACATGAGCTTCTCCGAGCTATTACGGCCACACGCAGTCACGGATATCTCGGCCTCACTCGCCACAAGAGGAGCGGCTTTATATCAGCTGAAACGTGTCAACGAGGGGCGTGTCTAAGAATTCCTGCGTATACTTTCAAGTTACCAGTCATCATCTGCCACGGTTTGGCGTGGGCAGATTGCTCGCTCATCCACGGATGCCAAAGTAGAATGATATTTATTTGCAACGGCGCACCAATCAGACTCTGCGCTCGCGAGCCTCAAGTCAGGTTGGAGACTAATGGAAGCCCAAACTGCTGGCGAATACGAAAGTTGGCCAATTCTTGGATAGTTGCCCTGGCGGCATAGCTCTCTACTCCGGGAGTGTTAGGTAGCTAATCCTCTTTGAAAGACCAATGTTGTGTAGAAGAAGCTTTCAAGATACATCAGTCATCATGTTCACTTTTCTAGAGCCAACAAATCTAAGTTCTCACGTGGTATCTCTTTCCGGAATAAAATCACTCCTGGTAACCTCTCGTGATGATTGTAATTATGGGTCACTGACCATAAGACGTGTAGCAAAAAAATCAATTGGAAATATGACATTAATAGCCACTGAAACTTATGTCACTGAGAAGTGATCTTTTGATTGTTAAAGTTTGACCGTTGACTGAACTTAGGAGGAAACCTGAGCATTTTTTTGAGAATAATTACGATATGATTGAAAGAGGAATGATAGACAAAGATAGATGAAATAGCACTACTAGCCAGGAGGTCGAAGCAGCATCATAGCGTAATGGCTCCTGATAGTACTTGGCTCTGTAGCAAGAATTAGGCCTAGGGGAAACTTATCGGTCAACAGATTCACGAAGTGGGTCAAACGTTACAAGTACCTTTTAGTCGTAGCTAGAGATTTCTTTTCTCTTTATACAGTTTAATTAATCAACTTCTTCAATATCAACTCAGTTTCCGTCACATTTATCACGCGACTATCACTTACAAGTCTTTTCTGCTTTTCACCTCACTCCCCAGTCTGATGCGAGATTCAGAGGATGTAATTTTTATTCGCCCTTCATACAATCTTTAGTCACTGATAATACACCTGTAAATTTTATCGATAGACTACTGGCCAACTTCTTGTTTGTCCTGGTCAATGATGAACATTTCGCCTGGACCAGCCAAATCGGGTTGAAATGTGTCGCTGAGTTAAGATTCGGCCCGCAGCACAATCTTATCAAATTATGAAACAGAATTCATATTCAATTACATTGCTGTGAATCCCCACAGCGACGACCGGCATAAGAGTAACTCTAATTTGCATCAATCTTTATAGAAATTGGTCATCAATAGCTGGGAAAGTTTCATATTGGATAAGCCCTTGTCAAATAAAGTTCTCCATAGAGCGTGGCACGTAGTGCTCAGAGCAATGCAAAGATATTATATTTAGAAGGAAGAAAGTATGCCGCTTAAATTCCTCCGTCATTTTGGTTGGTGGAGGATGTCCATCTGATTTTTAATTTGACAATTAGAGCACTCCCTCATTATACATGGTCGTCTGCCAGGAAGTCCACCTTATTTTCATTAACATATTCACTTAATCGTAAGTTGTTCCCCTTCGAACATGATTCAAACATACTTCTGGAACCCATACCTCCCGCGTCATAGTATCATTGTACCATTATAACGCCTTCAAATATTTCCCAATTCTATTAATGAAACCATTCAAATTAAATAACCCTCGCTAAATTACGTTTGACATATTACTTTTGAAACCACGTAAATTTTTTCTTCCCAAACTCAACGCTAGTCGACGGATTGTGACTCTCAACTGCTAAACTTCTTTGATAAACTTCCTAAGATATTTGATTAGTCGCTTCATTGATGATTGAGCAGAGAGAGACTTTACCTCATCGTCATTCAGCATCTTACAGTTCAAAATTAACTCTTGTGCTGCCTTAATTTTGGTTAAATTTTGGTATGGCACCATTTGACTCTTCATGATAGGCAGAATAATCTCTGACAGAACTTCAAATTTTCTCCAGTTGATCCGCTCCTTGTCCTCACCCAAAAAAGTACGACTACCCTGTTCTGCAGATATAAGATCTCGGCGATGAAGAGGTATATAAGGTATTCGGGAGGAAGATGAATTCTCCCATGCTATTCGGTAAGCATAGTAGCTTTTCTGAGTTCCCATCAAGACCACAAGACGAGTAAAGCGCCTTTGTATCTCTAAAGGTACTAGACTCCAAGATTGAGTAAGTCTATGAATGGCGCTTCCATTAATACCGGCCAGGACAGCAGCCAGTCCGTTGTAATTGTTTAACTGACGTAGCTTGAAAGCAATGTTGATAAACTTTTCTAGTACCAGTGCTCTATATTTTGCCTTGTCTCGCATCAAAATCATATTAGCAACCCATTTTGCGATATGATTGAAATGATTAATCATCCGGTTCACATTTTTCAATCCCTTGCACAATTCTTTCTGTTCAGATGAAAGAATAACGTGACGAATCAGGTCCCGAAGCCGAATGCACGAGAACATGACCCAATCTATGCGAGTCATTTCAGTGGAGAAATCGTCGTCCGATACCTGAATGAAATCGTTGAAGAGAATCTTATTTAGAGATAAATGACCTCTTGGGACCATAGTTAGGGCTTCTCTCTCAAAGTCTTCGATACCGTTTAAGGAAGGTACAGGCGAATCTATCCTATTCTGGATGGCTGCTCGCGAAAATGTTCGGTCCATTTCTTCGCTTTCGTCGTCCTCGAAGAAACTCATGGCAAAGCTTTCAGAGTTCGTTCTAGCTACCGATCCGTACTTTAGCAGGGAAATCGAGTCAGATTCACTGCAAGTTTTGGTCTGGAAGTCTGCATCTGTTTTAGCCCATCCAGTATCGTCATCTTCCATAACGCGCAATTCAAACTGTCTTCGGATTTCATCTGCCGCAGCAACGAATAACGATTCTTTAGACAACTTTTGGATAAATTCGCAAAGTTTTCTACTTGTAGAAGGACCGGCAAAATCTCCTGGATATGCGCATATCCATTTAGAAATAATATTTAAGATCCTAAATTGCTTTTCCGTTCGAATTAAGGTGTGAATTCTATTTTCATTTGTTACGAGTTCTAACCTGGCAAGTATTCCCGTAAAAAGCTTGCCTGGGCTAGCAAATTTTCGATATAAGCAGAGGAATATGTCAACAAACTTTTGATCTGCGGTCGATGTGACCTCTCCAGTTAATCGGTCAACAAGTTCATCAAACGTAACCCCTTTTGGCTTGTCACGATTGCTAGAGTTAACTTCATTGCTCTTCCGGAAAAAACTACTGTCAGAATTGATGCTTTTTGGTTTCTCGTCTACGATGATTTGAGCTATAAGAGAGTTGGCGTGCGTAGTAAATTCCTCTGATATACACGGGGACACGTCTGAGGGGATTCCAAATGTTGAATTAAGATTAGATATTTCCGGAGCAGTTTTTGCAAATTGCGGATTATGGTGAAAGTTGACTTGTCCGAGGAGACTTGACTGACCAGTTCGAGAAGACCATGGACGTCGGGGACCAGGACCAATAGAATGAGAGGAGACTGATGAAGATGTAGCGACTGTGAAGGGAAGAATTATATTCGGACCAACTAAATATTCTGAATTTGCACGGGAGTGTTTGCCGTAGTGCTCGTTTGGTTTGAGTTCGCGCAGGGATCTTCTTGATGGAGTTTTTTGAAGGTCGGAAGAGAAACTTTGGTTGGCGGAATTGGGGTCTTGAGACAGTTAGCCACGCGACTGATTATTTAAAACAATGATTTGTTGGGTAAGGTAGGTTGAGGATAGAACAGACCTTCTCTGCAGATCATAATGGCTCTAATCATCGCAGAAAGGCAAAGTCGAGCGCTTTCAGGGACATTTGAGGCCAATTTCATAACGTCAAAGCACGGATTGGATAAATATTTAACGGCTTCAGCGTCAATTTGCTGCATTTGCTCTGGCATATCACATTTGCAAGATACAAGGATAGTCGGTAGCAGCGAAACGACGAGCTCATCTGGAAGATGATCAGCGATAGCCTTGATAGAACGACTACGGCGGATTCTCACTCAATATTTCAGGTAGATTTTGGATGCTTTCCTTGCTCTGGACATCGCAAAGAACTAGGGCACCGTCTATGCGAGGTACAGTCTGGCCATTTATTTCATTGGGCCAATCTATCTTCTGCCCTGGATTGACGCAAAAAGACTCTAGGCTCAATTCATTAAGACTGAGCATAAAGGCCACATTGTCGATGAAGATTGGAAGACTTGTAGAGACTGAGTTGGTCGGAGCGCTGAGTCCAAGAGCCCGTTGGATAAGGGTTGATTTTCCGACACCAGCAGCTCCGATGATAGCAATGTTAATTGCACACTTTGTGCTAGGCGGCTTAGCCTGTATCATCACTCAATTAGCAGGTGTATACGCCATTCCAGGATAAAAAGGCCTAACCAGTTCCCCAACAAGATTGCCAGTGGCTGGCCGCGCATTTAAAGCGGGAGAATTGGCGACAAGAAACCTTTCGTTCTCATGATATCCTGCATTGGAAGCCGTCTTCAGTTCCCGAGCGAGAGAAAGTGTTTGAGGCGAAGCGTAGTTTTTGAAGAAAGGGTCTTCTTGGATTGATTTGATAGAGTTACGGTTGTTGGCCAATTTTCCATCAGTTTCTCTGTTTGCGTGAAGTTCATCTTTAGATTTTTTGTAGTGATCGTGGTGGTGGTTTGGTAGGGAGGCAAAGGCGAGTCGGGGGACAGGACTGAGTCGGAGAGAGCTTGAAAATAGATGAGATAGCGGGGCCTGTTTGAGGGGTGAAGAATGCGCAGTTTTTGTAGTAAGGTCAGAGGCTTCATTTCTGCCAGGGCTAGGGCATCGTTTTCGATGAAAACGATTCATGACGACAAAAGCAGCTTTAATAGAAGTAGACGCGCTCCGTCTGCTATCAGCCGAAAATTTTCCGAGGGAATTGGCCCGCCCGCCCGCCGAATAGTGTCGGTCGCTCGTTGGGGCAGTATGGGCGAATAATGCGCATGCTGTCAACAAGATATTGGGTTGGTTGGCGGTATGAAAGGCGTGGTGGGGAGAGGTATCTGTCAGGAGCTCTAATGGAGCTTTTCTTACTTCTAAGCGCTGACACGCTTCTTGAACTTGAAGGAACGGGCGCCCTGTGTCAAGGAACGACAAGGACCCTTGCCCCATGGGGCAAGGGTATGTCGATGGTCGTGTCAAAACAGTTGATCCGCCCCAGCAGCCATCGACAGCATGCCTTAACTTTCCCTTCAACTTTGACGCGTTCCTTGTCGAGAATCACCTGCATTCTGGAATTTACTAGTTTATCAACTCAAACCTCATGTTATCGTAAGCAAAGCATCACGGCAGCATGTCAGGGGTCATGAATAAAGATAGCCAAAGCTAAGGCTAGCACAAAATTCGGATTGAGTTTCGAGGGAGCAAGTGCAAATAATATGCCAAGGAACGAAAGGTAGAACTCATCGCGATTCAAGCTCAAAATAATCACCATCTACCTAGGGATCAAGACGGCCGAGAGGCAGGGCACCAATCTCTGTGCGCGCGTAGATTCCTCCAAGGTACAATGCACCTCCGCCGTGACCAAGCTTAATTTGCAGATGGAGGATTCAGTGCCCTCTGGACGAGCCATTGGAAGCTGGATCTTCTCCACGTGTAAATCTGGCCGGCTTATTTGCGACAACGGTAATGATGAGCAAGAAAAGCAATGTCTACTCCAACAGCCAAAGATTAGGCTAGGACAATCTACGTCACATACGAGCAGTAAAGAAATGAACTCGCCAGTATCATTTACAAAGTACCCTCGCTCATCCAATTATTTGAAACTGGCGAAGGACGGTAAAAGTCCAACACAGAACTAGGAGTCAGCTGAATCTAGGTGTATGCTGTGAAGCTTTCTCTCGCTTATCCACAGCTATAACAACAAGGTAATACAGTTTTCACTCTCAAACATCAATCGCTCAACAAATTTGATGGCTTGATTTAGCTCACAAACTTAGGGTTACTTAGATACTAGTGCAGAGGCTATTACTTGAGCTGAGAAAGTGTTCATTCACGCTCATAACTACTTGGCAATCATCTTTATATTTTTACACGGTTCTTCAAATATTGACAAAGTGTTGTCTGCGTGCAATTAATGTGTCCCTTTCCTTCTTCCGTTACAAAGACGATTACTAGCGAGTCCCATCTCACAGAAGCTATCCAGTGGAGCATCATCCATCAGACTAGACTAACATGGGTTGGGGAATGCGCAATGAAGATTGTTCTTGTGTAGTCGTGTGAAGCCGTATAGAGGTCGGTGTAGAAGATAGTCGATTCCGGAAATGGCGACGTGCGAAATGACACCAATATCTGCAGCAAAATCGGTGGCCATTTGCTCTGATAGGGCGAAGGGATTATTGATGCATGGAAGCGATACTAATGGGGCGTGGAGATCCGACACCAGCAAGGAAAGTGAGACAGAAGATCCTACTTGGACGGCGATTAATTGGCTTTCTGTTAAACGTTTGCTTGGCAATTATGGGGCATGCAGCCTCTCACTTTAATTTTCATTTGTATTTCCTCATGTGGCGCCCTGTGGATCTATGCACGCGCCTGTCAATTCTGGTAGCTGCATAGGAGGAGGTAGATTAACTCAACGTCTCCCTAAATCCATAGTCGGCAAAGTCTATTCTTATGCCTCGGTCCAAGTTGGGAGACGCGATGACAGAGTTATGCCCAGCGTGACCTTCATAGTATCCTCGATAATGTCTCATCTTTACTTTACCTCAATGTACCTTACGGAACGCCGACTCCTCTTTGCATGGCTAGTGTGATATCCCCGGCATTTTCGTAGCTGTGGCTTCACGATGCTCCAGCATTGCTTCAGATGAACAGTTTGACTTTTCTCCACGCTCAGGCTGTCCTGGCTCGCGAGATCCAGGCCATCAGAATCAACTTTGTGAGGGGTTATTCTGCGGTTATGTCTCAGATTATCGATTCCAGTAAGATGTTTTCGAGAGGAATAATATTAGGCCGAGGATTTTGTCCCTCCCCATAGACCTTGCAGCATTGTTCGAGAGTCAGGCCGCTTGTGAACTCCACACGAAGCGTCACAACATGACAATTCTGGTGCCCGAGGGACAAAGCTACCTAAGCCCGCCAATGTTGATGACGACAGCTCGCGCAGCACGCCCTCAGCCATATCCTCAGATCTCGTGACACCATCCAGCGCGCGCGGCTTCTGGCATCCCATGATATCGTTGGCAGACATCACGTGATGGATCGTCACTGGAGCACAGACGGGGGAGAGAGTGAGGTGATCACGATTGGGAAGTTCACAATGTCAGAGTTGCGAACCCGAGTACCACGCTCGGGGCTAAGCGCGGAGAGTGGGGTCACCGGGCTGAGCACTTGCATGAGGCCCTACATGCAGGTGGAGGCAGGAGGTCAGGTAGCCCTGGCTTAGCACTCACCATGGTAAGGTGCAAAAGGATCACGATCCTTCGGGACACTCCAATGATTTTGGAGATGCGACCTCTGCTTCTGGCTCACACAGGGCCATGTAGGCAGCGAAGTGAGCCTCCGTAGCCCGTAATCGCCGAGCCCAGACCAACGACGGCGAATAGGCGTAAGCGCTTCCGCTGATCCACGACACGATCAAGATCGGGCCCCGTCTCGTTGTGGCTACTGCCGGGCCAAGGCCCCCGGTCGCCTACGCCACGCGCGGCTAATGGCAGCAGCGATGTCGACTTGAAAGCGGGGCAGGAGAGACAGCGGCTCCAAGTCTCACTAAAGCTCGGTGCCGGCTGGGGGACGCCAGGCAAGCGGATGCAATAAATTCGAGGCTGGTTTGTGGTTACGCGGCTCGCATTGCTCCGGCCTGGCCGGCCCCTGTCGGCTCCTGGGGCCGGTCAGAGCAGATGGAGAGATCGGCAGGCGGGGTCGATTCTCTCGTGACCTGGCTTTCTCGCTAGACGCGGCCTTCAATTCCGATGCCCGACAAAGACCTCGTCTCCACTGTTCCCGACGGATTGCGGATTCGCTCGTCGCTGTGCAACGTTATCACCCAGCAAAGCATAGCTCGCTGCAGAGCCTGGGAAAATGATGCAAGTTGTACTACATACAAGTAGTCGGAGGATGTAACTACCACTCAAGTGCGATGATCGTCTTTATGGACAGTCTACGAAGCTAGTCTCCAGCTAGACAGCTTACCCTTCAGAGTTAGTCGCCTTGAGGAGCTTTCTCAGCGCCCGCATCTGCTTCCGTGCCACCGATCCCCAGGCCGCACTGGAGACAGTCTGCTCAGGTCCATAGAGGCGCTCCATCTGCGGGCTAGGCGCCTCCGGGGCGTCGATGCCCTTGATGAGGGCCTCATACTTCTGACGGCCGAGGCGCTGGCCCAGTCGCAGCAACTCTTCTACCTCTGCATGCTCCTCGCCCCACTTGAGCCCTCCAAGAAGCTCAGCCGTTTGGACCTGAGAAATGCGGTGGTCAAGGAGCTCACACTGCTGAATTGAATGCTGGGCGTTCGCAACGAGCGCCTGGAAGTGGGGGTAGAGGCTCGCAAAGGCCAGGCCATCAGCTGCCCGGCTGCTCGCGGGTGACGGCCGCGAGAGGGCGTAGGCGACTTGGAAGGCGGAGAGAAAGTCGCCTTCCTGCTCAGTGCTGTGCACGTTAGTTCCAGGAGCCAGAGAGGGTTGGCCTCCTACCACGAGTGAGAGAGCTTCTCCATGTGCGTGTGTAGACGCGTCGAGCTGGCATCGATGTGTTCTGTGAAGAGGTTCAGGAACTCCTGGACTGCTGCCGTCGCTTGTTTGTTCTTCTTGCTCTGCTCGGCGAGGAGGGCGACGAAAGATCTGCAATGGCCCAAAGCTTCTTAGTCATACTGCCTCAGCGCCACGCGCGCTCGCGGATATGCATCACTTTACTGGCTCTCTGTGCCGCCATCATCGGTCCTCCAGCCCGCTGGCATCAATTGCCCCTTTTCCAGCAACTTGTGACCTTGTGGCTTTTCGACGCTGACCCCATCGCTGGGCTTGCATCGGCCTTCGTCAGACTCATCTCCGTCAGGCCGGGGCCGTATTTTGCGATACTTGGGTAAGTTCGTGGACGTATTGCCTGTAATATGCGTCAATCATGAGGTCCCATTCATCCTGCCGGGCCACATCATTGAAGACTCGTGGCGTGTCTAGACAAACCTTTGGCTCTGCGCTTCCTAGTCTCTCGGACCATGACCGTAGTGAGTGTCGACGTCGTGACGGGTTACGAGGGAGGAATTCCGTACGGGCCGAGGTAGATGCCGTGACTGGCCAAGAATTTCTGAAATGACTAGCCCTTGCTTGTTGCTGTTAGTGCGATGGAGACCTCGCCTAAGCTCTTCTCAAATGTCTTTAGCCATATCCAGTGGAATATCTCGACAAAGTCACGGGCAAACATCACTATTGATGATTTTATTCACTTCATAGACTTGGCCACTTTTGTTATCGGTTCCTGCATTCAATTAGCCTCAACACTGAAAGTTATCGATCCATAAAATATAATGACTAGGGCTGGAATCAGCGTCACATGGTCAATAGGTAAACTGAATGCCGCTCGCCAGGAGCAATTCTCACGCTGCCACAAGAATACTCACCTCGCCAATTACTGTGATTGAGAGTCTGTAGAGCGCCACATTAGTTATGGATTCTGAATTGTGCCCGGAGATCCCTTCTAAACTGCAGACCCTAACAGATAGGGGATAACTTTAAGGCGTCTGGAACATTGACCACCTGATTTAGGCGGAGTCTACGTCGAGACTTTTCACGCACTACACGAGAGACCGTCACAAAACACGTACCACGGTGCTATCCAGTCCATTTCAGAAGGCATCTAGTTATGCTAGCTACACTTATGCACGTAACATTAACTATTTTTTGGCATGTCTGTCGATCATCTAACAATCTAAATAAATTATTCAATTATCATGGTTAAGCGCCTCGAGGCCCACGTAGGTGTTTTTGGAAATATGCATCTTGTGTAGAACGACTCGTTTTGACTTTTTGAACACTCACTCTCAGATTTCACTGGCAGATCGCACTCGAAGTTAACTCTTGAGGTGTATAACCTCTTCGGTGCGCACCCACCAGAGGTAAAAGTGTTAAAACCCTATGGCTATCTGGGCGTGATTTCCTCGCCCCTCAGATACCACACCACTACGAGACAATCTGGGGCATGAATTTTGCTGAATTCGAACAAAATTTATCCTGTATCAAGTGGCGTCGCTTAATCTATCCAGTATCTGCATGGGAGAAAGGCCCAAACGATATACCAGTGCACCATCTAACCCTATGACAGTCGATACAACTACGTAGAGGCCTTTATTATCGCAATCACTGGTCTTTCCTCATAGTTGGCCCTACGCCAAATAAATCTTCGAGCCACGAGGTGACTTGACTACACATACGTGACTACGCATCGTAGATTTAGGTTCAAGCTGGCAGTGGTTAGTATTGCTTACGTGAGATACCCTTATTATTTCCTAAATTGACGCACAATTCTTCTACCTGCGAGGTTATGCACTTTCTAGGAGAACGAAGACTGAAAACTTGTCAGTAGTGATCTCTACAAGCCTGGGGCTAGCTAGACAGGAGGGCTTCTATTGTCGATGAGTCAACGGCACTCCCTAGAGCCCTGGACGGCACAAAAGAAGCTAGGCTAAGCTACCATATTGCAATCACGCTCTGTCAAGACTTTTCTTACATTTCAGCTCGACCTTTGGGAAGGAGTTGGAAGGAGGCTAGAAAGGCAGAGTTTGAATTCTCCGAGGTACACACAAGTCTGCAGCGCCCAGCTGACCGGCCTCTTCGAACGCTTCAGAAGGGTCATTATATCTTCGGATTTAGTCTTACTGTCAGTAATAGGAGAGCCCCACACCCAGTGATTTTTGCGAATTTCCCAGCTGCCATACACCCGCAAATAGCCATCGTTACGTTGGCTGGAGAGGGGAGATAATGAAGGGCAAAGGGCTCCTCTAAGTGTATGATCGAATGAGGACTTGTGCGGAGTGATACTGTTTGAGGGCAGCTGTGTGGGAGGCAAATACTACTGGCATAGGTATCCTTGGCCTGTAGGCAAATAGGACCTGCATGTCCTATATTGTCACAGACTTAGACAGGACAATAAAATGAATTAACCTGCTCCGCTAGGCCTGAGGTTGGAGTTATGCCTTAGGCACGCAATTGGATATAGATGGAAATAACGCTTCGGTGGCGTCCATTGACACATATACATAGTTGGCCAGCCACCATTTCTGCAGTAGCAACCCAATTCTCTTGTTGTAAAAAAATCCGAGTCCATAACTGCACACACCATCAGGGGTTAACCGTGCACCAGCCAAGTTGACCCTTAGAGTCTGATCACTATTGCTTCCTGATCGCTACTCACTGACACCAACGTGTTCACTACAATGAGGACACCATTGTAGTTACTCCAGCTATCATAGACAATAACATGTAGAGGAAGAAGGGTAGGAACTCCTGTATAAAGATAGGACCTTTTTACTCTCAGTATTTACATCCATCATCCATAAATACAATTCACTATCAATCAATCATCTTACTCTGTCCAAGAGATCTATTGAATTCTCCCATACTTTTTTTTGCATTAGATTTTATTTGCGTATGCAGCTATCCAGCTATGACACAATATCAAAGAAATCTCCCATACTTATCAGTACTCTATTCACAAGGTGACGTCTCCCTATCCATCGCCCTCAGCCTTTCAATACTCATTACCTGTGATATCACAGAGATTGGCCCTATCATACCAACGTGAGTGCTCTATTTGTGTGTAGAGTCGTCTTCTCTGTAATCTTCTTCCGATATTGTGGCAAAGCTAGATAGCTGCATACGAAATTAAAGTCTGATGCAAAAAAAAGAGATGCTAGGCCCGAATTGAAGTTAAATGTAAGAAGGTATCAAGAGCTTGGGCGTGTAGTGGCCTAGTCCGAGGAGAAATTTGTGCTTCGGCGCAGCAATGTCGGGTTATCTGGACTGTTGGACTTGTCGTTCGTAAGGCATGGGAGAAGTATGAGGCGGTCCGCTCACTCAGGCCGGGCCAGGCTCTTGTACTTGATCGTAGCTAGCCTGATTCGTCCCGAACTGCTCGTGCTCAAGCTATCATGGGAGTGCGGAGGATGCCAATTACCTAGCACGCTAATAAACGCAAAATTTAGATGAACTCGAAATTTCCCTTGCCCCTCTCTTTTCCCGCCAGTTCCATATCGCATTAATCCTTTGATTCTGCGCGATTTTCGGGTGCGCTAGAACGTCTCTGGGCCGTTTTAAGCGCCTACACGCCATATTGGAGAGCGTGGAAGGCCGTTCAACCCTACCAGCCCTTCAGAATTCATCGAGTTGGCTAAAGAAGGATTCAAAGAGAGGAAACAGCCCCCCCCCCGTAACCAACACGACTGGTGATGATATGATCGGGTTGGTCGATGGTGTTGAGGCAATTTTACAACTAGCTTTTGATTCCTACGAGGAAGGAGGCCTACGAAAAACTACTCCGATAAATCTAGATGGATGGTAGACCATGTATCAATAACAGCCTGCACTGTAGAGTCACAGTCCGAAGCTGCTCCAAGATCAGAATGTCCACCTAATCTTGAGCGATACTCGAGGCTCGACGACACCCCGCCCAAAGAGCAGCCAATCTTGCAGTTTGTACCAGCGCCACCAACGGCCTCGAAGCATCTCTTCGTTCTCTGGGCCATGGGTAAAACGGAAAACTTCGGAGCTCAATGAGGGTCTATCTACCGGCTACCATTGCTCAATTTGCAAAGGTTGGCCCAGGCTCAGTGGCTCGATATTCACCAGGAAAAAAGGCAGTCCTGATAACTAAAGATGCAGTGAAATTCTCAGCAATTAACCCTGATAAAGACGCTTGGAAGGCGACGGTAAACAAACGACTACTATCTCGCCTAGATAGCAACCATTAAGAGTTTTAAGTATCTCCTGTAGATATACCATACACACTGATACAGATCTTATATTTTATTTATTTTTTATGTCTACCGGGCACTAGTTACAACTAAAGCCCCATGCCTGAGGGAACATGATGACTACTAAATAATACAAAACGTGATATGCAGTGGCAGAGGCCATGAAAATACATTTAGAAACTGCGAGCGCTATGCAGCGGGTACCTCACAAGAGTAGCTCATATGTTACTCTTAAAGGACGTATATAGAATGTAATATAAGTTAATTGATGTGTAAGTTACAGGTGTTATTATAGCTAGTGTACAACGCTAGAAAGTAATGTAAACGCTACGGGATAAAGTCATGTGACATAAACAGCGTAAGGCTGACACTTCAACAGACTCCTCCAGCCCAAGACTATTTCATTATATTTATCACCCTTTACCCAAATTAACATATGGTCATTTTAACTCAAGAACTCTCATATTGAGCAGCTTTATAAATTCTCCGTGCTTAGCTTTATTCAGAGACTTTATAAGTCAATCTGCTGCCATCAACTTGGTAGAAATATATCGAGGTAACACTCTACCACTTGTGACGTGGTCACGGATAAAGTGATGCTTGATATCAATATGTTTAGTACGCTGGTGTAGCTCTGGATTTTCACTTAAGGCTAGACTGCTCTGATTCTCACCGTAGACCTTTGTGGATAATATATCTGTGCGGGAGTAGCCCATCTGACGCATCAATTGCTGAATCCACAGGAGTTCCCGAATAGTGGCAGTGAGAGCATAATACTCAGCTTCCGTTGGGGAAAGTGCAACGCTGGTTTGTCCCTTCGATGAGGCCGAAATCACTCCTCCAGCAAGAAAGAAGACACTTCCTCCAGTGGATCGTCTGGTGGCTATATTTCCACCCCAATCAGAGCCACTGGGGCAGTGTAGTGTTGTATCGAATGCATTTGCATTGTACATTATCCCGAGACTTACTGTACCCCTCACATAACGAAGTATACGATCGACACCTTTGGTGTGGTTCGAAGATGGATTGGAGAGTGTTATGAATCTACTTATTGGCAGATTTTCGAAGCTGTTAAGCTGCAGAGGTCGAGTCGATTTCGAAGAAGACAAATTATCGAAGGTTCGAGGTTACAAAGTTACGAAGGTCGAAGGTCGACGGTGCAAAGGTCGAAGGTGCAAATGTCAAATGTGCGAAGGTACAAATGAAGGTAATTGAGGCTCGGATTATCAAAGTTACGAATTCATGTGTTCAA